AATACAAGAAATACAATGCTTCAAACAGACAGGAGAAGTGAAGATTCAGAGCTAAAGAGTAGCAAGCCTACCTCACACCTCTTCATGGTATGAAGTTGTGTTCATCACCATCACCTGCTCCAGGGGAGGAAGGAACCTCCCAGCTCCAAATCAGGCAGTGTTGAGGATGAAATAGAAGGAATATGCAGAGATCTAACTATTCTCCACCAGTTTTTCTAAGTGATTTCAGAAGTTTCAGTGAAGTTGGTAGCTGCACTAGCATATATACCATGTGTGGATATTTCTTGCAACTAGCTAAGTAATCAAGAACAACAGGATTTCGTTTGAAAAACACACAGTTTTTGCAAGAAGTTTGCTGTAACATTCCAAGTACCCCTCCTCCTGGCAGAGACAGCTTTACTTGTTTGCACACACAAACACACTTTGCTGCCTATATACATTTCTTCTTTCCAGCTGCACAAAAACATAAGTGCAGGCTCCTTAACCCAGGATAGACTCATTCAGTTGTTCACAGTGAATACAGCATGTGCTAAGTACCTACAAGTTTTGCTGTGAAGTTGCAAACTGAACGGAGGCTAAGGAAGAACATGGTCATATGCAATAGTAAGTGTAATCGGCTACTAAAATCATAGAAGTTGCCAGTACAAAGCAATACACTTGATTTGGAGGGTATCTCAACTTACATTACCCTTTGAAAAAAAACAGGGAGATGAAATGTTGTATTCAGGAAAAGAATGATCAATTTAGAGTAATCATGATGCAATAAGCAAGCTCTCAAAGAAACACCCCAGAGGGCCCTGGGATAAAGCACAGGAAGCAAAGGAGTAGTCCCAACATTACCTCAAGGATTTGGGCCTTTTGGGCCTCTGTGATAAAAGCTGGTCCCAGAGTGCAGAGAGTGTTTTCCATCTCTTCTTTCTCTGTTCAAAATGATACGAGAGAATCTGAGTGCAAGAGTCTATGTAACCTGGGCAGCCTTGTGCTCCTGCAGGCCACACGGAGGAGGTTTCTGCAGCAAGTCCTAGTCAGAAACACACAAAATATCAAAAAACATCATCCAGAACTTTCAGGAGCTAACACCAGGAAAACTAATATGCCTAATATATGCTGGATTACAACTAAAAAGGAGAAAACCAACTACCGGTAAGAGCAGTATCCTTCAGATAACTGCGAACGGGACCACAACGGTGACTGGGTGCTCCAAATGGAAAACACTCAACCTGAGTGTAAACATTTGCTTATTATTTTGCAGTTACTGGAAGAGCCCAATTAAGTCCTATTTAGAGAGCAAATTTTGCCAATGAGTATGCTGCTTGAGAACACTTCAATCTGACCATTTTTTGGGAGGGGTTGTAACATTGATCTTGTTTGACCACAAAGAAATTTCAGATGACCTTTTTCTGAAGACACGTTTCATTCTGAGATAAAAAAAAAAAAAGAAAGAAAAAAAGAGAGGAAGCTCTAGCTACACCTGAATTTACCTCAAAAGCACTAGCAAGCTGATTTCAGAAAAAAATACTTTTCTACACACAGGTCAAACACCGATTTTCCAGTTACCATGGACAAAAGAGCAAAAAAAAATTCCTTCCCAAGGGGCACAACACATAATAACAATATGTCTGCCACTTAGATCCACTAAAAGGTTGTGTTAAATTGAGCAATGTACATCAAATGGCTCAGTTTCAGAAATTAAATTTTCTTCTGCCTGAATTTCCCCAAGGGGCCCAATCTGCACAAAGCATCTAAGAGATAGCCTTTATTCTTGCCCAGTACCTAAGTTTTGAGAAAGACACGATGCTAGACACAATATTTTCCCAAATCATACCCTGACTTAATCTAGCAACTCCTGCTTATTAAAATAGCATGGATTAGCATACCGGGATGCCCAGTTTACCTGTGGCAGCAGAGCAGTGGCAACACCAGCCCCTACAACCCATCCTGTGGGAAAGGCATGTTCTGCAACAGCTTTCACATACATTTCCAAGCTGCTCATTATATTTTGCCATGAATTCCCCAAAACATAAAGGAAAAAATAAGATACAGCTGTATTACATACGTGTAATGAACAGGAAACCACAGTCAACAGGAAACCACAGGCTATTGACCGGGAACCACAGGCCAGGCCGCTCATCGAGGTGCCCCAGAAGAAGGGCTTATTCCACACATGCTGCTAAAGGCAATTAAAACAACAAGAGGAAAAAAAAATGTTAGTGGTTTTATCTAGAAAAGGAGACAAACTCTGCTGTTATTGTGCTTTTCTTTTTAAAATTCTATTAAGCAGATTGATACAGGATGCCCAAGCTAAAAAGCCAAAACATTTAAAAGGCTTCAAATTATACTTGCAGGAATATCTACTTTTAATGTGTTATTTTAAAATGAGTTACATATATTTCCTAAACATTCTCCTACATTCTTCCTAAACATTTTTAAACTGTTAAGGACCCCAAAGGAAGAGAGATCTGATAGCAAGCTTTATTCATATAAAATAAACAAAAAAAAATGTTATGCCAAGATGTTCACCACAAAACCTTCTCTAGCATTTACAGTCCAACCCTTTAACTCTGTCATTACCTGCACGGAGTTGCAGGTTAAGTACGAAGCTCCCTTTGGAAGAAAATAAAGGCACAGTATTGCAGGGAGGAGGGAGGCAGGTACGTTGGGTTTTTAAACCAAAGCACCTCATGGTGCAGAAGGTCTCCGAGGGGACAGGTGAGCGGGCGCCTCTCGGTGCACACAGGCTTCCCCTGTGAGGGATTTGGGAGTCGTTTCCACCCGCACGACGCCGGATTTAGGCGGCAACCCCGGTGGGGCTGCGCGGCGCCATGGCCGCGTCACGGAGCGCCCGCCGCCCTCACCTCAGGGCGAGGCCGCTGCGCGCGGCCGTTTAACCGCCGCCGCGCGGCC